TACGTTCCTATCGTCTTACATTTCACTGGATCCAACCCAAAACAAAAGTTGCGCGGCGATACCTGCGCGAAGACTCAGTTTTTTGCTGAGTGGACCTACTGGTTATACTGTGAAAGATGTATGTTCTTGAAAATTTATTACGATGTGTGCGCGCGATATCAATTTGGTAGTAAACATGATCACATCATACTACACACTACATCAATATCGCACGCATACATACTCGTAAATCGTCAGTAAAACAGCGACATTCTTCGAATTTGATTCCAATTTAGAATCGCCTTAAAATATTTCTTCTGTATTATTTCATGCAAAGTATTCGATGTAAATAGAAATGTTTAAACAGTCGATTGATTTTTAAGATGCCTAACCAACATGAGAATTAGACACAAAATTATATTAGATTAGGGCTGACGCTCTGACATGTATGTTCTTAATACGTTATATACGTTGGTAATCTGTAATCACTGATGAGCTTAATAGGGGATTGGTGCAAGAGGCCTTACAATGTAATGATTAGTTTATTTACTTTCTCTCTTAATCTCTTTTCACAAACACACACATACACACACACACACACGCACGCACGCACGCGCACACACACATACATTTAAATAATAGAAATTAATCGTTAGTAATTCTAGTGTTAATTTTAATACTAACACTGCTATAAGATTCCAGAGATAATGTCACTAAAAAACTGCTAGTAATTTTAATGGGTTTTGTGCAGCGCTTCATAATCATCAGTACATCCTTTTGTTCGCTTCTTGTCATTAATATCCAGTCTGCATATAACATCTCGCCCAATTCAGCACTCTACACAAATAATAAAAATCAGAATAATTAAACTGCAATTAAAAATTGTATTACTCTAATCGTAAAATTCGTGCAAACATTATTATTTGTCAAAATATATATTTTTACGGACTACCTTAAGTGTAACTTCGTTTCCAGCCCAGCAATACATAAAAATTTGCACAAACATGCAAAATATGTAGACTGTGAATGTAGTTATGTTTGTACGTGTCATATGAGTAGACACATAATATATTGATGAACACAGTACCATAATACTGACGAAAAATTGAACAAAGATCGTTTGACTGAATACATCGTTGATCATTTCGGCAAATCTATAAATATTTATACATTATATATAACATATTATACATATATTTATCTTTATCGAATACACATATATGTACTGTGACGTGACATCCTTTTGACGATCCGTCACAAAAGGATTTACGGACCCGACCGCGGACGAAAGCTCGAGTTCTATGTCCTCCCATCTTCCGGAGGCGGGCGCGCGGCACAAGTCGCGGGACCACGTGATTGCGCGGCTCCCGTGATCCGAATACCGAGCACCATATAACGCTTTCTTTTAGTTTCCGTAGCGATCTTAGCTATATAAAATACCGTGTCGGTGGCTCTCAAAAGATTTGTAGGATAATCTCGTCTCACCACCACTCCTGCAAGAAGGTTCAAGAAGAAGGACAGGCACCGAGCTGGACGAAAAGTCTCGAGGAGGAAGCCGCTCAGGTCATTGCGCGGAGAGAACCAGGCGAGACCAAGGAGGATGGCCACTCTGCGTTCAAGGACGAACGAGAGACCTCATATGCGGAGTCGCGACAGGCACCCCGCCGGAGCAGGGCAATGCCACCAGGGAGAAGACGTCCACACGAAAGAGAGATTCCCGCAGGATCGGCCCCCTGGGCGAGCGTCAAGGAAGACCGCTAATCGTTCGAATTCCGCGCGCGGGGGACAAAGAACCCGCCGCGCTGCGCGCCTCATGCGATTCGCGGAGGCCGCGAGACACCACCCGCCAATTGGGTCGCAGGAGGATCCATCACGTGGACCCACCGACCCGACCATAGAACTTATAGTACATGAAAGGGGACTGCCCATAAGTTGAACAGAGAGATCCACGTCCGCGGTCCGATATATCTTTCTCTCTTGCGAAGTTGATTTTCGCAATTACGCACGCGCGGCTTGCGTGCGCACCTTTTTATTTCTGTAGCAGGAAACGACGCGCTTGCGCATTTTCAAAAATCAACTGAGTGAGAGAGAGGAGTATAGATTCTCTTTCTCACTTCCATTTGACACTTCGGTTCCCCATTCCCCTTCCATGTATTGTAAGTTCTATGGACCCGACGTGATCCCGGGAGCAACGGTGCCCGGCACTTGTGCTGTGACGAAGGATTCGCGTGTAGCGCTGGTTACGGTACGGACGTGTGTTTAGTGCGCTCTTATATAGTGTTCAATTATTTGCTTCTCGTCGGGAAAATTTCGGCAAATGGTGTTCGAGCTTGTGCCCTCACGCGAAATCTTTTTCCCCTGCGTCAGTCGGACGTGCAAATCCCCGATATGTACGAGGCTTCGGCCTCGTGCGTTGGGGGCCGAGATAATGAGCCGGCAAGTCCGCCGGCTCTCGGCGATACTCGGACCCCGGACTTACTTCTCCCCCCCTTCGGCTAATCAAACGTTATTAGTTCCACTCGAAAGTTTTACTACATTCAAGGGGCAATTAGCCCTCTCTCAAAATTTCCCCCCTTTGTCTCCTGCGACTTTCTCTGCTCAATCATATCCACCGTCTTCTTCTTCCTCCCGTTCCCTCCCCCCTAATAAATACAAACGCGGGCTTCGGTGTGCTTCTGGGTACGGATCATCAACAACGTATCTGCGCACAACACCTCTGCGCATTCTGCGCACTCTCAACCTCAGCAGTTTAACAGAAATTATATCTCTGGCAACGATAAAACGTCCGGCGAAATACCCCTAACGGCCAACGACCAGGAAATAACCTTGTCTTCAACCGGCGTTAAAAAAGGTAATAAACGCTCTTTTCGAGACACAGAAGTTGTATCTACCTCCATGGAGCCCGCATCTTCAGAATCTTCGCCTTCTCGCCATGCCGAAGCACCAGGTTGTTCGAAAGCTGTCCCCAACAGCGTACCCGGCAAAGCCAATAAATCGCGTAGAATCGAAGAAAGAGCAAACGTGTACGTGGCTTCAGATCATCCCCCTTATGCTGTACACATCCATGCGTTGGGCAACAATAGAAATAACATGCAACATCCGGTGAAAATCTTCGCCCAAGTAGGTAAAGTTACATAAGGTTATGCCTACATCTGGTATTGTTGAAATGAAGCGTCTTGGTATCGGTAAAATCGTGGTCAAATGCAAAACTGCGGAGGCCGCTAATAAACTGGTCTCTAATCCGGACTTAGCAACTTTCAATCTTAAAGCGGTTATATCTAATTACAGAGTGTTGAGAACAGGAATTATTAAAGATATTCCGCAAGAATTTGATGTTGCAGAAATTAAATCTTCTTTGTCAACAACCCAAAAACACAAAATCATCAGCGTACAGCGCTTAAACAGAAAAGTAACGGTAAATGGTGACACCCAATATGTGCCTTCACGCACCATATGTGTTAAATTTGCAGGGCAATCGCTTCCCACTCATGTGACATTCTTTTGGGCTAGGCATGAAGTTCATCCGTTCATCCCTAAAGCTCGTGTTTGTTACTCGTGCTACAAAGCCGGCCACGTCAGTGCTACCTGTCGCAGTCAGCCTCGCTGCATCTATTGCGGCAATGCCCCACATGGCAATGAAGTTATCTGCCCGCTCAAAGAAGACACACCGCACTGCATAAACTGTTCGGGTGAGCACCTCCCTGTGGATCCCAAATGTCCTCTTCTAAAGAACCAAAAGAAAATCCTCACTCTTTCAGCTATCCAGAACATACCCCTCGCAGAGGCGAAAAAAAGATTGAACGCTCCCTCCCTTCCCGCAAATAGTACAGGTTCCTCCCCCCCAATTTGCTAACGCAGAATCGGGTAGCGCTTTTGCTGTCCTACTCATAATAGATTTGAAATGCTGAACAGAATTAACGATGGCGATTATTATCCCTCAGGTTCACAGGCCTCTTACGCACAGATAGCGGCAGGCTCGCCTCCTAGACAGAATAGATCGCAGATAAATAGGAACGCCAACAGAAATTCTGCCTCCCCTCCTTCTGTCACTGAGGCACAATTCCGCAGAAATGCTGCGGAGGACAGGAATCCTCATCCTAATCTCAATGGGCGTCAACCCTCCTTTTTCGGGCAACGGAGTCGGCTTTCAACCAAACTTCACTAGCACACCTAATTCGAATTCAAACTCGGACGGAGGAAACTCCTCCCCCTTCTCCAATCGGAATTCGAATAGAGAGTCAAGCGGTTTCGAGGCTCTTCTAGACCTACTTAATTCCTGTAGTGGACTAGGTAATCCTAACCTCTCGCAGATAATAAACAAGATTTTGACATTAATTAAAGTGATTTCGCCTTTTCTAAATCAGCTTTCTAACATTTTTAGTTCGAATAACTCAACGTCTCAGCAGCACACGGTTTTTCCGCAACATCCCTCGCAGGCCCCTCACCCATTCGAAGGGGCGAACAACTTTTATCATCCGTAAATCCATCATCAATACTGTTACCTCCCCCCTCCTCCCCCTATTACCCCCTTTTTCCCTTCCCCGGGACACGGTCCCCGCTCCCCTTTTCCCTCCCCCCTTCCCCCTTTCCCTATCCTTACCTTCTTCCCCCGTCACCCCCCTACCCCTTCCCCTTCTCCGTCCCCTCAGTCTATAGCTCATTCGACTAGGCATAACTTTAAAGGTCGCAATCTGTCTGCTATGTCTTGGAACTGCCGAGGAATACGAGGTAGAATGCCGGACATTCACCGATTAGCCTCTTTGTACGACGTTATTTGCATCCACTCTATTAAATCCTCCAAGTAAAATCCACCTCAACAATTTCCGAATAATCAGAAAAGATAGGCGGGCAGTAGGGGAATGCGGTATATGTATATTACTTCAAAACAACATCTCATTCGAACTTATTGACACTTCATCTGTCGCTCATGATTCGCTCGAAATTCAAGGCATTAAAATCAATTCCCCCAGGATAGATTTTACCATCATTAATGTGTATAGACATCCAAATAAACGTACGCCTCTCGTAGCACTAACAGCTCTTTTTGATCTTGCAAATTTGCTCAATAATACTTTGTTTTTAGGGGACTTTAATGCCCACCACAGCTCATGGGGATATGGCAAGTCGGATACAATAGGCAGGAATATGGTAGACATCCTCGATCATCGTAATCTCGTTATTATCAACAATGGGAACTCCACATCCCTATCACCCCCAGGATCGGCCTCTTCAGTTATAGATTTGGCAATTGTAACAGCATCCTTCGCTCTTTTCTGCATTTTCGACAGCCTGCCTGACACCGCTGATAGTGACCATTTTCCTATCGCCATTTGGCTGGGATTTGAAGCAGTATCCAAAAAAAGGTTTTTATACAAAATAAAACTCAATAAGCTTCAAAAAGCTGATTTTCATACGCAACTAACGAGGGACTTCCACCTTCTCGAAAACATTAATGATAAAGAAGCAGTTTCTAACTACAATCATTTCGTAAGCTTGATTAAAAACCAAATCTCTTCTCTCTTCCCTGGCAGCGATATCTCGCCTCGTACGAAACTCGTCAAACATTACAAGGCCTCGCCGGTGTGGTGGGACGAGGCATGTCAATCTGCAATAGAGAGTAGGAAAGAGGCCATGAATGCGTTCAAATTGCACTTGTCTTTGGAGAACTTCACTGTCTATAAAAAAGTCTGCGCATCTTGCACCAAAACTCTTCATAAAGTTAAGAGGGACAAATGGAGAGACCTCTGTAACTCCTTTAATGGTAAAACACCCACTTCTAAATTATGGAGTCTTATTAAATCTTTTAGAAACCACAATCTGACTCAAGATAAAGCAGAGTTTTACTCTGATCAAGAAATTGAACAAGCAATTTTTAATCTATGTCCAGACTCGTGCCTTGACGGAAATTTGCCCTCTCTCTTACACATGAGACTGCAAGATGCGCACAATCCTAATGTGATCTCATCGCTCGATGAAAAAATAACGCAAGAAGAATCTGGCCATGAGTTATTCTAAACGCAAATCGGCGCCGGGGTTAGATCAGCTCGATTACGAGATTCTGAACTCACTCACTGAGAAACATCATGGTAAACTTCTTGATATCTTCAATGAATTGTTTGAGTCAGGATCTTCTCCGGAAAACTGGAAATCAGCCTTATTTTTATCCCCAAAAACAGGGGAAAGGGTGTCAGACCCATTTCGCTGCTCTCTTGCATTATGAAGCTGCTAGAAAAAATTATCTACTTTCGCCTACATTGGGCGGTGGAATCGCGTCCCATCCTGCCAGACTTCCAGTTCGGCTTTAAACCGTCTAAATCTTGTGCGGACAACTTAAGTACGTTCACTAATTATGTACATGCTGGCTTTTTAGAATCTAAGGTAACAATTGGTGTGTTTTTAGATATCAAAGGCGCATTTGATAACGTTATCCCGGCAATTTTACTGCAGAATCTGCTTGATATAGGAATCCCTGCTAATATACGTATGTTTGTCAAAAATCTTCTTAGCGAGAGGAAGATTTTTGTGGTCAACAATGGTCATCTACGGGGTCCATTCTTAGTTCACAAGGGCACTCCGCAAGGTTCCATCTTGAGTCCTCTTCTCTTTAACCTGTACCTGAGGCGCATAGGAGAATTACTAGGTCAAGGGGTATATATCTTACAGTACGCGGATGACATAATCCTCTTTGCCTCTGACAAGAATGCATGTAACGCTATTATCTCATTGCAGTCAACCTTGGACAGGATCCGAGACTTTTTGTG